ACAAAGACACAGCGCTGTCTAGAGTGGCCGCAGCTGCCCCGGGTCAGAACACTCTGGCCACGGAGGAGGCAGAATCCCGTTCAGTTCATACAGCAAACAACAGCAAGTGCCCCGCGGTCACGCACGTTTTCTTTTAACCAGGAATTCCCAGAGACCTGCTCAGTCTCCATCACTCGCAGGTCATATGGCCCAGCACCATCTCTCTCCTTATTGGTCAAACAGCCCTGACACAGCCTGGTGTGGATCTACAGCAGGCATGAAAAGAACTCAGTGAAGGAGAGAGGGTGTCCAAACTTTTGGCCTGTACTGTACATACATATATACATACATACACGCACACACACACACACACATACACAGGCTCACGCACACACAGACTCACGGACACACACACACACACACACACACACACACTCACACACACATACACACCCACACAAAGACTCACACATACACACACACAGACATACACACCCACACAAAGACTCACACACACACATACACACATACACAGGCTCACGCACACACAGACTCACGCACACGCACACACACACACACACACACAGAGACTCACACACACATACACACCCACACAAAGACTCACACACACACATACACACACACACAGACTCACGCACACACACAGACTCACACACACAGAGACTCACACACACATTCACACACACACATACACACACACAGACATACACACCCACACACACGCACACACAGACTCACGCACACACACACACACACACACACACACACACACACACACACATGGTATGGACTCTCTCTCTGTTCATTTTTATCTAAACTCTTTCTCATGTTTCACTTCTTTTCGACACGACTAGTTTTAGGAAGATGTTGAAAAGAGAAATGTATTTTCAGAGAAGTCCGTCTAAAGTTTGGACGAAACTATTTTGCTGCAGATAAACTTTCTAAAACCTCATATTCACGGCACAGAATGTTCCACGGTCAACACAAGGATACCGGCTCAAAGCCTCGGCTCAGGCCAACGGCAGGAGATGATGTACAAACATGTGTTTGGATTTTATTTAACAAATGGTTCCTATTCAAACATTTACTTTTTGTATTCATCAGAAAAATCTTCAGAATTCTACTTTTTTATTCTATGTTCTTTCTAATTTGTACTCTCTCTGGTGTTTCTCTGGTCCATCTCTGTGGTCTATCTCAGTGTTTTTCAACCTTTTTTGAGCCAAGGCACACTTTTTTCACTGAAAAAATCTTGCGGCACACCTCCAGGAGAAAATGTAAACATGTATACAGTACTAATGTAAAAAAATATATACTGTACATACTCTGTGTGATATATAAAGTATATCTTATCTTATCTTATAATGTATACAGTATACTCTGTAGCCTATATTCACAATATACAGTTATTCTCATCAAAATGCTTAAGTCCAGGCCTTGACATTAAGCTTTATTTAATATTTCTCGATACAATTAACAAGAGTTTGGGAATAAAGTGGCACTAACTGTGTGGAAAAAAACTAAGAAAATCCACTCTCTGCCCAAATAGTCAAATAATAACTCACACAAAGAACATGCATTGTTAGTGCATGGGAAAAATTTAGGTATCTGAGCTTTAAATTCAGGAGTTTTGGATGAGGGACACGGGAGGTCCTGAACGCGAGTCCATGGTTCTGTCCGGTCCGCATGTCTATGGTTCTGTCCACTCGACTATGGTCTGCGCTCGGTACCCAGTTCAGAAGTGCGTTCGCGAGAGCTGTTGTACAAAAATCGTACATTTCATAGTTAAACCACTACAACGCGGCCACAGCTGCCCCGGGGCAGAGCGGAGGATGTTAATCCTGTTCAGAAACGGCATAATTCATTTTCAAAAACGTCTCTATCACTTTCACTTCTCACTCGCCACAAAGCTCTTGTCTCGCTCCCTCCCACATTTGTTGGTCGCATCCAATTTTACCTTTCTCGCCACAATGCTGACCTGTTACAGCCAGTGGTCGCATCCAATTTTTCAGTTTCAAAGTACTTAGCTATCTGCTGCCATCTACTGATTTGAAAAAGTATTACATGGTTACTCCACAGTTCAAAACAAGTCACCGGAGGTCAACAGCGAATGCAGTTATTTTTAGACAAAGTAGACGAATTTCTCACGGCACACCAGACAATATCATACGGCACACTAGTGTGCCGCGGCACAGTGGTTGAAAAACACTGGTCTATCTCTCTGGTCTCTCTCTGGTCTCACTCTGGTCTCACTCTGGTCTCTCTCTGGTCTCTCTCTCTCTGGTCTCTCTCTGGTCTCTCTCTGGTCTCTCTCTGGTCTCTCTCTGGTCTCACTCTGGTCTCTCTCTGGTCTCACTCTGGTCTCTCTCTCTCTGGTCTCTCTGGTCTCTCTCTGGTCAGAGGATAAAACAAAACATTATTTATTTTTGGTTTAAAATAGCAATGTAACGTTACTGACATCACTGCGTTACAGCTAAAAGCAACACACTACAGTTTAATAACACACTACTCCTATCACTGACGGTAACACACTTCTGTATTGATCCCAGAGTTATATCTCTGGTCTCTCTCTGGTCTCTCTCTCAGGTCTCTCTCTGGTCTCACTCTGGTCTCTCTCTCTCTGGTCTCTCTCTGGTCTCTCTCTGGTCTCACTCTGGTCTCTCTTTCTGGTGTTTCTCTGGTCTCTCTCTGGTCTCTCTCTCTGGTCTCTCTCTGGTCTCTCTCTGGTCTCACTCTGGTCTCTCTCTCTCTGGTCTCTCTCTGGTCTCTCTCTGGTCTCTCTCTCTGGTCTCTCTCTGGTCTCACTCTGGTCTCACTCTGGTCTCACTCTGGTCTCTCTCTCTCTGGTCTCTCTCTCTGGTCTCTCTCTGGTCTCTTTCTGGTCTCTCTCAGGTCCCTCTCTGGTCTCTCTCTGGCCTCTCTCTGGTCCCTCTCTGGTCTCTCTCTGGCCTCTCTCTGGTCTCTCTCTGGTCTCTCTCTCTGGTCTCTCTCTGGTCTCACTCTGGTCTCACTCTGGTCTCTCTCTCTCTGGTCTCTCTCTCTGGACTCTCTCTGGTCTCTCTCTGGTCTCTCTCTGGTCTCTCTCAGGTCCCTCTTTGCTCTCTCTGGTCCCTCTCTGGTCTCTCTCTCTGGTCTCTCTCTGGTCTCTCTCAGGTCCCTCTCTGGTCTCTCTCTGGCCTCTCTCTGGTCCCTCTCTGGTCCCTCTCTGGTCTCTCTCTGACCTCTCTCTGGTCTCTCTCTGGTCTCTCTCTGGCCTCTCTCTGGTCTCTCTCTGGTCTCTCTCTCTGGTCTCTCTCTGGTCTCACTCTGGTCTCACTCTGGTCTCTCTCTCTCTGGTCTCTCTCTCTGGACTCTCTCTGGTCTCTCTCTGGTCTCTCTCTGGTCTCTCTCAGGTCCCTCTTTGGTCTCTCTGGCCTCTCTCTGGTCTCTCTCTGGTCTCTCTCTGGTCTCTCTCTGGTCTCTCTCTGGTCTCACTCTTGTCTCACTCTGGTCTCACTCTGGTCTCTCTCTCTCTGGTCTTTCTCTCTGGACTCTCTCTGGTCTCTCTCTGGCCTCTCTCTGGTCTCACTCTTGTCTCACTCTGGTCTCACTCTGGTCTCTCTCTCTCTGGTCTCTCTCTCTGGACTCTCTCTGGACTCTCTCTGGTCTCTCTCTGGTCCCTCTCTGGTCCCTCTCTGGTCCCTCTCTGGTCTCTCTCTCTGGTCTCTCTCTGGTCTCTCTCTGGTCTCTCTCTCTGGTCTCACTCTTGTCTCACTCTGGTCTCACTCTGGTCTCTCTCTCTCTGGTCTCTCTCTCTGGACTCTCTCTGGTCTCTCTCTGGTCTCTCTCTGGTCTCTCTCTGGTCTCTCTCTGGTCTCTCTCAGGTCTCTCTCTGGTCTCTCTCTGGCCTCTCTCTGGTCCATCTCTGTGGTCAATATCTTTGGTGTCTCTCTGGTGTCCCACAGTCTCCTCCCCCCTCCCGGCCTGAACACCCATGCTCATTGCCTGGCCGGTGATGGATCCTCAGAGCCCGTCTCTCTGACAGACAGGCCGAGCTTGTGCACATAATTGAATCCTGAATTGTCTTGTCACAGACTTTATGAGCTTCACAAAGACAATAAAGTGCTTGTCTCCCGTGGACGCTCTCCCTCTGTTTACACGGCTGCTTTATGTTGACATTCGCTAAAGTAGTTTTCCCTGCTCTGACACGCCGGCCATGCTTCACAAATGCCACACTCTCCCTCCGGCTGCTGCGATTCTACTCAAACTGAAATATGTTATTACTATGGATTTGATGCATAACGACGTTAGCCAATACTGTTCTGTCTATGGATCTGTTATACTGTGGATAGGGCTTTGCTAGCTTAAAGTAGTCTCCACGTGGACAAGGGCAGGGTGGACAGGGTTTGGGCGGGTGGATAAAAATTGGGCCGGTTTTGGATCAGGTTGTTGGTCAGAACACAGGTCATTTTAAAGCTTGTGTTTAATTGTTCGAAACCTTTTTGGGCAATCTTCAATAAAATCCTTATTTGTAGAGCACATTTAAAACAGCCTAGGCTTACCAAAGTGCTGTACGGACAGTGAGAAAAAATAAATAATAAATAAGAATATGTATATATAAAATATGTGTATTTCTTAAGGGTTTTGAAAAAGTTTTGGGCTGTAAAATCTGGCAAATGACAACACTGGAGAGACCTGTGGCAGACATCTTGGAGAGACCAGGGGATGACATCTCGGAGAGACCAGGGGCAGACATTTTGGAGAGACCAGGGGCAGACATCTTGGAGAGACCAGGGGCAGACATCTTGGAGAGAACAGGGACAGAAATCTTGGAGAGACCTGGGGCAGACATCTCGGAGAGACCTGGGGCTTGGTGTTGCCTTGTTTAGTTACAGCGCAGAGGTTGAGTTAGTGAAACCAGGGCAGATCAATAAACAAAGTTTAGCTGCAGCCACAGACAGCCACAAGAGCAGTTGGGGATAAAGATTAGATGGTTTAAGTATTCCCTGTTGTCTGTAAATGGGATGGCTGAGAGCTCAGATCCACAGGTAGAGGATGTGCAGTAAGGGTCTGAGATGATCCAGGATATGATTATTTTTTTTAACAATAGTCATCCCGCTCCTTTTGGACCAATGGCTCCTTATCTGTTTGCTAATATTGTATTATCTATGTTGAGACTGTTTGATCCTCTGGTCGGTTGTTGGGAATCGACACCTCTGTAAAGTCCTTCGAGACGACTGTGGTTGTGATTTAGTGCTGTACATAAATAACTGTTGTGTTGTTGTAGGTCGAGTCTCCTCTCGCCGTCGACGCGGTTCTGGGAGAAGCGTCCTTCTCTGTCACCGATGACAAAGTGTCCATCGCTGCTTTCCGGGTCCACGCCATCGCAGGCCTCAGTCTGACGGTGCAGCCCAGTCCAGGGAACAGCCACACCATGGTGGCCAGGGCTGCGGGGGTGCAGACCCTCACCGCACCGAAGCAGGTAGGACACTTTGGCTTTTTGTCGACGCCAGAAGTTTTTATCCTCAAACCCTCTATTTTGACATCTTCATTTCAAAAGGCTCTAATTTAAAAGTGATAAGAAATAGAGGTTTTCTGTAAATTGCATGCAAGGAGAGATTGGGCTCTTGGTTCTCCGTCGTTGCTACAAAAAGTGTGTGTTTGTGTTTACGTGTGTGTGTATGCATTTGTGTGTGCTGCAGTAAGGACACTGGAGCAGTCAATTGAGCTGTTAATGAGAGTGTGAGTTCAGGGTCACACTCCTCTATCGTTGAACTGCAGTGTTTTTAATTACAGCGTGTGATCCCCGGGGATATAGACGATCAGCTACATACAGAGCTGTGTGTGTGTGTGGGTCAGTGTATCTGTGTGTGTGTGTGTGTCTGTGTGTGTTTCTGTGACCTTGTTCCGTCCCACTTCCCTTTGGACCAATAGATCCTCTGTGTATATTTTGACTGGGATTGAACTGTTGGGTCTAAGGCCACAGTCTCACTTGAGTCTTGTCTCTTTGCTTAAAAACCCTCCCTTGCGGCTGCAGTGTCTGGGAGGCTTTCCGCTCCGACTCCTCGCTTACACCCACACTGCTCTGAGTCTGTGTCACGGAGCTCAGATCTGAAACACTTTCTGTGTACGGTCCTGAGTCCTGAGTACATCGGTGTCAGAGCAGACTGTGTGAAGTCTGTGAGGACAAACAGAGACTGCACTGCTCTCTCTGTGGTCAACTAAAACCAAACAAGGAAAAACAAGCCAAAAATACAGGAGACAATTGTCACTGAGAAACCAATCAACACAGTTTCAGTGCAGTCATTAAAGCTATGTTTAAACTAATAACAGCTGAAAGAAGCTGTTGGCAAAACAAGATGTTCTTCATCTCAGCCAATGATATCTTCTGCCAAAGGGAAGAAGCTGGAGCATGGCTTTTCCAGGGGCCAGAAGAGTGATGATTGTAAGAGCTCGGTTTTAGAGTCTGGATTCATAAAGAACCTCCAGAAAAGACACAGTCTCTCTCTGGTCACTCTCCGGTCTCTCTCTTGTCTCTTTTCTCTCTCTGGCCTCTCTCTTGTCTCTTGTCTCTCTCTGGCCTCTCTCTTGTTTCTTGTCTCTCTCTCACAGAGAACTACGGCTAAGGTGAAGGTCATATGTGTTTGATGAGATCAGCTGCGCCTTGTTCAAGTCTTCAGACCATGGATTACAATGATATTTCCAACTCGTGCTGTTCCTGAATCCACACTGTCTCATCCAAACCAAGACATTAGCTTAATTAGCTTAATGTCGGCGTGGTCTGCACTTGGAGCAGTCCGGTGACCGCTGGTTGGGACTGAGTCAAAGATCCTCAGCTCCTCAGCTAAGCCTCTTTCTCAGGTGTTAACAGATTACGGACACTCTAAAAGCTGCTGCTAATGTTTTGTTCCGGGGAGATTGGTGTGAGCAGATCTGGCTGAGCTGAGGCCATCCCGGGCCATCCCAGGCCATGTGTGTGGTAATGTGTGTAGTAATGTGTGTCCTCAGGGAAGACTTTGTTCTTGTCCCAAATAAAGCTGCAGAGGAGAGTGTGTGGGTTAGATCCTTAGAGGTGTGTGTGTGTATGTGTGTGTGTGTGTGTGTGTGTAGATCCTCAGAGCTCTGTGTGTGTCTGTGTAGATCCTCAGAGCTCTGTGTGTGTGTGTCTCTGTATAGCGCTTTGGGTGACCTTGGTCTGTAAAATGCGCTATATAGATAAACATTACTTACTAAATCACAGTAGTAGTTATCTCGAGGAGGAGGACTTTACAAAGCTGTCTTTTCGTCAACACACAGGAAATACAATGTCCATAAATGTTGTTGAATGTGGAGAGTCCTGGATCATCAAGAGACGTATTTGGGAAATAGCAGCTCAACAGCAGTAGTATTAAAATTGTAACGGGAAACGTCATTCAGTCTGGACTCTTCTGGATTTCTCCGTCTTCCTTCTCGGTCAAACCCTCATCACGACTCCAGCCAAACGACAGCAGCTCTTTCGCCCACAGTCCTGCTCTAATAAACAGTGCGAGTGTGTAGACGTGTGTGTGGCCTGGAGGAGGGAGAAACACACTCTCTACTTCCGTCTAATGAAACCATTGTAATGTACGGCTCTGAAAGGCCCTCGGAGTCCGACTCTCTCTCTCTCTCTCTCTCTGGGAACGCACTGCTTTAGTTTGAGTGTGGCACATTACACTGGAGGCTTCTGCATTTGTAATGGTCCCGCCGCAGCCGCACCCGCCTTTGAAAGCGACTGATCCTCAAGTTACATCACAGAACAAAGTAATTGCAGTAAAATGGTGAGAGAGACTGGGATTTACCTTTGCTGGTCTGCGCTCGCTTCATCTCCAGTCACTAGAGGTTTGTGGATATTATAGTTTTAATGATGTCTCTCTCCTGCACCATCAAAACCCTCGTAAACGTCCTAAGTATGATTTTCTTTGGTGAGATTGGTATTTTAGGATAATCCCACTTTGCCGTGAGATTATCCACCGCAGTTTTCTATTTATGAATCGAAAATGTGAATACTCGAACAATTTAAAAATGCATAATCAGCAGTATTTGAATCCATTTTTGTTGTTGAAAAGTCTGGTCTTGAAGGAAGAGCTTGGAGGCCAATTTGAAAATAGTGAAATAGTCCTTGGTTACACTAGTCCAGGTCTCGGGTCTCTCCAGGGTCTCGCACTAACGTACATCTGTGACATGTTGGCGCCACATGAACCAACACAGTTTTTATCCTTTGTCTGCATGTGATTGTGTCTTTCATTAAAGCCTTCTCTGTGGTCAGCAGTGACTAAGAAGGACAAGCAGAAGGTTCCATCCAAATCCTCCATCCAGTCATTGCTCCTCGCCGCAAGTTAAACTAATCTGGGTCCAGTGTGGTTTTGGTTAACTCTGGTGGAAGTATGGAGTAGGAACTATGGCAGCTCGAGTATTTCAGATCACATTGAAGTGCACAGTTGCATCTATTGCTCAGGAGTTATAAATATAATATACAAGATATATAAAATACAGACCAAGGTCGCCCAAACCGCTCTACAATGTCCAGAGTTCAGACACTGTTCCATTCTCTCCACACGGTGATGACAGAAGCGAGACACAGAACACACTGGTCCATCAAAGCCTCTGACGCTGATGCTTTTAGTGGAGGACACCTTCTTGCTGAGAAGCGAGAGGGCTCCCCACTGTGCCGCCCCAGGTGAGGTGGATTAAGTCGAGTCTGGCATCACTGTAGGAATTTAACACATATGTTCACAAAGAAGCAGATAAAGACAGAACTTAGATCCTGGCAACACATGATGCTGAATAATGGTTGGATAAAAACTCTTAAACACCTGCTAATCCTGACCTGGGGCTGGAAGGAAAACTATGAAATGAAGAGTATAGACCAGGGGTGTCCAAACTTTTTAGTAAAAGCCTCTTCAGTTCAGCAGGCTAGTCCAGGGGCCGACATCACAGACTGAAAAACTGTCTTGACTGACATTGGGCTGTTCTGAGCTTTTAGGATGATGTGTAACAGAGATGAAGTTGGCTGAATGACAAATATTTACCATCTCACCAGCACCATTAACAAAAACCAAATCAGTAGAATATGTGCAAATACAGTCAACATCGTGCTGGGCAATCAGCAAGGTCTATATTGGTTGAGCTGAAGTTGGATGGATGACACAGTGAACTTTTATACAGTCAACTGAAGACATTTATGTAGATTTTTATTTATGCGTTTTTGATTTGATCTTGAGCCAAAGAAATGTCCTAGTTTGTGACTTCCTGTTACTCACATGGCAATAAAAGGATTCTGATTATGATTATCTCAAAGACGACTTTTGGTTGGCGAGGCAGAGGGCCACATAAAATGACACAGAGGGCCGCAAATTGGCTCCCGGGCCTGAGTTTGGAAGTGCCTGGTGTAGACGAAGGTGAATCGTTTAATACATATTGGTGGAAATATACTTTAGCCAGTGGAGATTCTGTTCATGTTATTGCTGTCCTTGAGGGTTCGGGCACCTTCAGCCTGATGCACCACCTTCAGACTGATGCACCACCTTCAGACTGATGCACCACCTTCAGCCTGATGCACCACCTTCAGCCTGATGCACCACCTTCAGCCTGATGCACCACCTTCAGACTGATGCACCACCGTCAGCCTGATGCACCACCGTCAGCCTGATGCACCACCTTCAGACTGATGCACCACCTTCAGCCTGATGCACCACCTTCAGCCTGATGCACCACCTTCAGACTGATGCACCACCTTCAGCCTGATGCACCACCTTCAGACTGATGCACCTCCGTCAGCCTGATGCACCACCCTCAGCCTGATGCACCACCTTCAGACTGATGCACCACCTTCAGCCTGATGCACCACCTTCAGACTGATGCACCACCTTCAGCCTGATGCACCACCTTCAGTCTTCTTGCTGTGAGCTTGTGCTGAAACGTTAGTCATTTAGACATGGAATCTTGTACTTTTTATTCCTGACACATAGCATGAAAGAGTTCTAGCTTTTCTCTCTTTTGCTAATACCATATAATGGGAATGTGAAAACCTATGGGACTGACGCAGGCTCTGTACCAGCGCAGACTTTCATGTGAATGAGGTTCATAAAACATGTAGCTGAGCAGATCGCTGACTTTCTCCCCCTGACCTTCTCTTTCTCATTCTAAATGTCTGTGCACTTCTGTGATTGAAGAACATGATGACAATGTAGGTTTTCACTCAAACTGGGAGCGTTCCGAGCTGGACTCTTTGGTCTGACGAAGCACACTTGCTTTAGTGTTTGGACGCGAGATATTATTTCAAATTCTCAAACATTCATGGACATTGGTCTCTGCCACTTTTGCCACAGCTTCATAAAGTCCTCTGAGATCATTACTGTTGTTATTTAAGGTGAAACACAGATACAAATACACAAAGAAATTGAAGCAATGTTTGAGCAATTAATTCTTTATAGTAAAGTATTTCAGCCAGGTCTATCTCAGTGCCATGTAGATCAAGTTTCACTCCTTCTTGACCAAATTATTTCCAACCAACTGCCAATACCACAGCATTTTGACAATTGCAGCCGCAGAGCAATCCAACTTTTTGACATTTTTCCAACCCGAGACATCTTCTTTTGCGATTGAACCCTTCGAAATAAAGGGTCACGGCTGTTCTTTGTGATATATATATTCATTCTAAATGGTAGAAAGCCGGTTGTGTAGAGCACGGACCACTGGCCAGCCCTCTGCTCGTGAGCATTCAGCTCCAGCACAGCGGTATCCACACACACGCCTCACATCCTCTGCTCCTGACAGCCGCACATGGGCGTTTGATGTGCGGAGGTTAATAATACATGCAGCCGGCAGATCGCTGATAGCACCAAGCTCAAAAGTGAAGCTGGACCCTGGAGTTCACAAAAGACAGTGATGCTTCTCCTGAAAACATGAGAAACATCATTTCAATCCGACCATTTGATGTCCACTGTGACTGGAAGTGTGGGAGGAGGCGGGGCTAGGGACGGAACCGGTGGGGCTATGGACAAAAGAGGCGGGGCTGAGGGAAGAAGAGGCGGGTTTGAGGGCAGAGTAGGCGGGGCTAGGGGCGGAGGAGGTGGGACTAGGGACAGAAGAGGCAGGGCTGTGGGAGGAGGTGGGGTTAGCGACAGAGAAGGCGGGGCTAGGGATGGAAGAGGTGGGGCTAAAGACAGAAAAGACAGGGCTAAAGAGAGAGAAGGCGGGGTTAGGGATGGAAGAAGCCAGGCTAAGGACAGAAGAGGCGGGACTAAGGACAGAAGAGGAAGGGCTACGGACAGAGGAGGCGGGGTTAGGGACAGAGGCGGCAGGGCTGAGGGAAGAAGAGGCAGAGCTAAAGACGGAGAAGGTGGGGTTAGAGACAGAAGAGGTGGGGCTAGAGACAGAAGAAGTGGGGCTAGGGACAGAAGAGGCGGGGCTAGAGACAGAAGAGGCGGGGATAGAGACAGAAGAGGCGGGGATAGAGACAGAAGAGGCGGGGCTAGAGACAGAAGAGGTGGGGCTAGAGACAGAAGAGGCGGGGCTAGAGACAGAAGAGGCGGGGATAGAGACAGAAGAGGCGGGGCTAGAGACAGAAGAGGCGGGGCTAGGGACAGAAGAGGCGGAGGTAGTGACGGCGTAGGCACTCGTATGTATCCGTTAGCTTACATGTGAACATTGCTTACAGTCCCTGTGCTAACTCACTAGAATCAGCTTTCAACCATGTGGCCACAACTGCAGGTGAAAGCCATATCCTATTAGAACGCTGAAACTAAGCAGGGTGTGATGGGAGACCTCTGGGAACAGCGGGTGGCACCGTGGGGAGGCTGCGGCTGAAAAGTGCCAAACTGTGGTTGTGTCCTTAGGCAAGACACTTCACTCACATTAGAATGACTCTGATGTGTGTGTGAATGGTTGGTGGTGGTGGGAGGGACCGAAGGCACATAGTGAATGCCTCGCTTCTGGAAGTGTGCCTCAGGGCAGCTCTAGCTACAGTAGTTTATCACCAGTGTGTATGGAGTGAATGATGCGGCCTGTTCGTCTGCCTCGAGATGTGTTTTGATGTGTGCCTTTGGAAATGATCAAATAACACCTGATTGGTCAAAAATGTGAAAAGAAAATGATGTGAGATTGGACAGACTTTTTGATTTTCTATATAATACACTTTAATGAGAATGACTTTGTCTCGTTAATAAAGGCTTCAGAGTTTTTTTTTTTTTTTTTTTTTAGTTTCAGTCCCAGCTGGTGATCCCATCTGATTATTTTCAATTAAAAAGGCTCAAAAAGGTTGGACAAAACTGATTTAAAGAGTTAGCATTGAAGTTGTTTTTTATTTAGTCTGATGTGGTGCTTCCTGGTGCAGCCTCACAGCGCCGCCGTCAGGCCTGGCACGCACATTACACTGCTCTGAGGGGAATTGGATTAGTCTTCAGCTTAGTCTTTCGGATACATTTACAGAGCGGCTCAGTCTTTATTAGATTAGGTTGAAGAGACCCTTTAATCATCCCACACTTGTGTCAGTGTTGCATCACAATTTACAGAACAGTAGGAATGAGGAGCACACGGCACAAGATAAATGAAGATAAGATATGTAATAAAATAAAGAATTTAAATCTTTAAGTTAAGCATAATAAGAAGTCAAGTATATAACTTCTAACTGTAACATAATAAAGAAGAAAAAATCCTGTATATTTTAGTGCAATAAATATATAGTTTTATGTTTACATCTGCACATGTCAGCAGCATGAAGCTCTGGGACAAAGTGACTCAGTAAAGTTATAGACACATCATGTATTCTTGTAAAGCCCTTTTAGGTTTTGCAGAAAATATGAATTTCTATATTAGATAGATAGATACTTTATTGATCCCCGTCGGAGAAATTCAGGTGTCCAGTAGCAGCAAAAATAAAATTGATCATTGAAAAAATCTAACAATAGTAATAACCAGCAACAGCCCTTCAGGTTGCAGCAGCAGAGGTGGAGTAGCCTCTGGGTGGAGCAGGACGGGTCACAGCAGCAGAGGTGGAGTAGTCTCTGGGTGGAGCAGGACGGGTCACAGCAGCAGAGGTGGAGTAGTCTCTGGGTGGAGCAGGACGGGTCACAGCAGCAGAGGTGGAGTAGTCTCTGGGTGGAGCAGGACGGGTCACAAGGTGGAGTAGCCGCTTGGTTCAGACCATTTTCTCTGCTCTGGTCCAAAGTAAAATGTTAAATTCTTCGTTAGCATTTCTCAAAAAGTTAGCATTCCTCCAGTAGATTTTCACCTGATCCACTTGGTTCAGACCATGAATCCTCTCTGGTCTGGACCAGTGTAAAACTATGAATCCTCTCTGCTCTGGTCTGGACCAGTGTAAAACCATGAACAATGAACTGCACCAACATCTCAGGCAGAAAAAAGCAAGAAAAAAAAACATGTATAAAGCACAAAACAACTGTTTCAGAGACGCTTAGGACCTGCCGCCGTTTTCCAGCACATTCAAAAGTGAACATTCAATCATGAAATGTCTCCATAAAGTGTTTTTATGTGATGTGTTTTCATATTAGCCCGAGGTCAGAGAGTTTACAGAGTTCAGTCTCTATTGTTCTTTCAGAGAAGTGGAAGAGTCTTATCTCGCTAAAGAGGCAGTATGCGAATCAGACCAGTCCAGGACTTTAGAGAGAACTCTTAATATCTCGGTCTTCTTTTCTGGTCTAATTCGGAATCACGTCCACAAAACCCTAAACTTCAATGTTATCTCAGAGGACTTGATTTCTCCAACACAGAGAATGAAACCCTTCAAACACAACACATAAAACAGAAAACCCATTGGTATTGGTCCATAAGGTGTAGAAACCAATGTCCATAAGTGTTGTTGACTGTACTGATTCTATATGTTGTACTGTTTAAAAAGTCTGAGCCGCTTTGTCTCTGTGTGGACAGGGTCTGAACTGCAGCCGAGATTGTGTTGTCGTCACAAACAAGCCGCACACAACTCGAGAAAATGTCTCTAATGAGGTGTTTTTGCCCTCGCCTAGTCCTGCAGTCTCAGTCCCTTTTTGATGCTTATTTTATACATGTTAATCCCCTATACATTCTGCAGAGGCCTGGCTTTACATCAGCGCACACACACACACACACACACACACACACACACACACACACACACACACACACACACACACACACACACACACACACACACACACTGGGGCTGTGGGCATCCTCTGCAGTACTCACGACTCTCTGGAGACTCGTGTTCTGGGCCAGGGCCAGGACTTCAAAGCTGCACTGTTTCACATCTGAACAACTCACATCTTCAATTCGTCTCCAGATAATCTCATCATCACTGGATCCATTTTTTTCGTTTGGCCCAAAATTACAAAAGCAAAGTTGTCTCGAAGAACAGAGCGACACAAAACAATGACAACTTTAGAACACGACCAACAATAAAACTACTCAAAATCATTGGTTTAGAGATCCAGGACTGAGGCTGTAGAACCAGGACTGAGGCCGTAGATCCAGGACTGAGGCCATAGACCCAGGACTGAGGCTGTAGACCCAGGCCTGAGGCTGTAGATCCAGGACTGAGGCTGTAGATCCAGGTCTGAGGCTGTAGACCCAGGACTGAGGCTGTAGACCCAGGCCTGAGGCTGTAGATCCAGGACTGAGGCTGTAGATCCAGGTCTGAGGCTGTAGACCCAGGACTGAGGCTGTAGACCCAGGCCTGAGGCTGTAGACCCAGGTCTGAGGCTGTAGATCCAGGACTGAGGCTGTAGACCCAGGACTGAGGCCGTAGATCCAGGACTGAGGCTGTAGATCCAGGTCTGAGGCTGTAGATCCAGGTCTGAGGTTGTAGAGCCAGGTCTGAGGCTGTAGACCCAGGACTGAGGCTGTAGACCCAGGACTGAGGCTGTAGATCCAGGACTGAGGCTGTAGACCCAGGACTGAGGCTGTAGATCCAGGACTGAGGCTGTAGACCCAGTAACTTGTAATCCAATTCAATGTATTTAATGATGGGAGTGGGATGACCAGTGTTCATAAATGTTAATACTGTCCTTAGACCCGTCATGCAGCTGTGGAACTATTTCCCTCATAATCTATAAATGTTGTTTATCCCTCCAGAAAAAGCACTGAACTTTATGAAGGCGCTTCAGGCTGAGATCTGATTGGCTGCTGCAGGGGTGACTCACTCTGCTTTACTTTAGTGCCAAAAAGCGTTATGGTCGTTCTAGTGTCAAAAATGCACGTGAATACTGATATTGAGACGGAGGAGTAAGTGAGAGGTTTGGTGGAAACATTAAAACTGTATTGTTATTGACCGAGTGAAACATCATCACACGACACTTGGATTCATGAGCACCTCCCTTTTTGAGCGTCATTAAGCTAGCAGGTTAGCATTGTCCATGTACAGTACATACAGTCTTTAATTATTGCCCCATCCTTCTCTGTCTGCCTTGGTTCCTACAGTTGGTTATTTACATAGAAAGCAGCAGGATGCCTCTACCCGCCTCTCCACTTCTTCGCCTCTCTCCTCATCCCTTCCTCCCTTTCTCTCCTCCTCGCCTCCTCCCCTCTCTCCTCCTCCTCACACAGCCTTGGCTCTGGGGGCAGCGCTTTCTGCATACGCTGCATTCCAGTTCACAGTCACAGCAAAAACAAACTAAATCAAGTCAGAAAGAAATGAATAACAAATCAGAGAATGGTATATTCATCTGTTTATAATCATTCAAAAACCCTGCATTGTTAAAACAGTATTTGGACACTGGAGGGTTCTGAACCCAGAGAATCATTAGCCTGAGAATCAAAACCAACTCATTAGAGGAGCGGTAAACATTAAAGTTTGGAATAATCTTGTTAAGAGAAAAGAGCCATCGTTTCAGGCTTAGCAGTAGATAAGACTGGTTTAACTACCGCATTCATAACCAGTGTTAGTAAGTAATGTTTATTTAATTAGCGCATTTTACAGACCAAGATGACCCAAAGCACTTTACAATGTTCAGAGTCAGATATTGTTCCAATCCTTCCACACACGGAGATGACGGAAGTGAGTCCAGAACACACTGGACCATCAGCCCCCAACCAACACCATCCATTCACTCTCTCATTTACATTCAGACCTATTGTGCATGTTTTTAGTGGTGGGGGAAACCGGAGCACCCGGAGAAAACCAACGCAGACATGGGGAGAACATGCAAACTCCACTCAAAAAGGCCCTGTTCCAACCGGGATTCGAACCCAGGATCTTCTTTCTGAGAGGCGAGAGTGCTAACCACTCAGCCACCGTGCCAGTGTTGGGGAAGTTATTTTGTAAATGTAAAGATTATCTACAAATGACTTGTTACTGCTCCAAGAAAGTTACGTAACTTTTGATTATTTTGTGTCGCAAAAAATAAAACAATCATGTTTGTACAGTACGTTTGCTTTATTTAAGTTATTTAAATAAAGGTCGACTACAAATAAGTTGAAAACTGGATCAAATGCAGAAGATTACCATGAAAGTAAAAGACTAAAGTGGCCACTTCCTGCTGTGGTTGGTTGGTTGGTTTGATGGTTGGTTGGTTGGTTGGTTGGTTTGATGGTTAGTTGGTTGGTTGGTTGGTTTGATGGTTGGTTGGTTGGTTTGATGGTTAGTTGGTTGGTTGGTTGGTTTGATGGTTGGTTGGTTGGTTGGTTGGTTGGTTTGATGGATGGTTGGTTGGTTGGTTTGATGGATGGTTGGTTGGTTGGTTGGTTGGTTGGATGGTTTGTTGGTTGGTTGGTTTTGATGGATGGGTGGTTGGTTGGTTTGATGGATGGTTGGTTGGTAGGTTTTAATGGTTGCTTGCTTGCTTTCTAGGTTTGTTGGTTGCATGGTAGGTTATTTGGTTGCTTTGTGATTGGTTAGTTGGTTTGTGATTGGTTAGTTGGTTGGTAGGTTGGTTGCTTTGTTGTTTGCGTGGTTGCTTGGTTGGTTGGTTGGTTTGTTGATTCTTCATTGATGCCTGAAGATACATTCAGGTGTCCAGCAGCAGAAACAAACACATCCATGCAAACACATAAATAGATAATTGTAAAAGTTAGTTATGATAGTATTGCAACAGCTGGATGGAGCGGACAGGCCACAGCAGCAGAGGTGGATCAGCCGCTGGGGATGAGCTGAAATAAATATTACTCTTTGTCATGAGTCTCTCCAGATTGAGAGAGTTATTATTTTATTGCAGTTTTTTGTCTGGGCCTCTCCTGTCCTACTTCAGTCGTGTTTGCAGACCTCAGCTGTGGATCCTCTGGTTTTACATGTACAAAGCCTCTGAAGGTCTCTCCACACTCTGCTCCTGACTCTGCTCCGACAAAAATGTACTAGCACCAAAAAAAGCTGAAACATACAATCTGGATCCAAATCGATTAGATTTTGAAGGAGCTCAAAGTCAATATGTCAATACTGTATGGACCTGACTGTACAGAAGAGAGATAGATAATGTATTGACCCCTGTTGGAGAACTGCAGGTGTCCAGCAGCAGAAACACATCCGTCCAAACAAACACAATCATTCTTAGAGTTACTAACAAACGGTGTAGTCACTGGTGATGAACTGCTTTCTATCCTTTGGTTGATGTGTGCAGAGTCTGCTTGCATTTTATCTGCTCTGATTCTGAGTTAAATTCTCAACGCTTAATTAGCATTTTTCTTCACAGAAAATTGCATCCCTACAGGAGGTTTCTGCTCGATCTGCTTAGTTGGGACTATCTTCTCTGCTCTGGTCTGGATTTGTGTAAAACCATGAACGCTGCAGTAACATTTAGATATAGAAAAAAAAACAACAAGAATAACGAATGTAAAACACAAAACAACAACTGTTTCAGAGCTGCTTAGGACTTGCTGCTGTTTCCTTCTGTTTACTGCTGTATATTTGATCTGGAGTTTGCTGACCGTGTGTTTGTGTGTGTGTGTGTGTGTGTGTGTGTGTGTGTGTGTGTGTGTGTGTGTGTGCGCTGCAGGAGGCGTGTCTGTCCATGTGGATGATCTTCAGCGACCACACGGCGGCTCCGCTCACCTTCTTTGACCCCAAAGACTACACGCTGAACGGCTCGTCACTGGATGAGAAGGTGGTGTCTGTGGTGCAGGAGCCGGGGCAGCGCTGGCCCCTAGTGTCTGCGGAGGGCGAGGGCTCCGGAGACCTGCTGCGCCTCGAGATGGCCATCTGTGAGGCCTGCCAGAAGACCAAGCGCAAGAGCGTCATCGCCGCCGCCAACGCCTTCGTCAAGGTGTGTGTGATATCACACAAAAGTTCAATGTTCAATGTTTTTCTTCTTGTTTAAAGTGTTTCTGATTTCCTCTTGTGGCATAAAAATGTGTCTATTTTAGATGGTGTTCAAAAGACTCAAGAGTTGGAGCTTAAATGCTGCCAATTTGGACCAAAACTTTTTGGACAAACTTCAAACTTGTCAAACTTTGCTTGACATTATTATGCATAACCTCCGCTACTGGATTGTTGGGTTTGTTTGTTAGATAGTAAGATAATAAAAAGTTACGAGCAATTTTTGTTGGGAAAAAAACATTATTCAATTCCATTACTTAAAGCAATTCCTTTAAGTAATGGAACTGCGCCTCTTGGTGGAAGTCTATTCTCTACGAGTGCTCTTCTCGTTTGCTTATGTAATCGAGAATATTTCGCTGGTCTGTTATAATTTCACATTTAACCAACATCTAAAAAAAGCTGATTATTATTGTATCTCCTGTGTTTGAACTCTTTGATTCTCTGATCCGTTGTTTAAAGTCCTCCGAGATGGCTGCTGATGTGATTTAGGGATATGAAATTGAGATATGAATCCAGTCTACAGTCTCTATATAATATATGAAACTAATCGCGTCCAATAGCTACTAAAACTTGATGGAGTTAAAATGTTAAGTCCATAAACTCCATCACAACAAAAATGCATACATTGGCCAAACACTGCAATTACGGTAATCTCTTACTCAAATTAGTCAACAGCTTTGCTCAATAATCACTACACTTTTTACAGGCCATGTGAAATATCTCATTCCATTAAACACAACAGTCGTTTTCTCGGAGGACGTTAGAAAAGCTGTCGATTCTCCAACACAGATCAAAGAATAAAACATTTCAAACACAAGAAATAAACCATTTAGGAACACACAGAGCCATTGGTCCATAAGGGACAGAGACCAATGTCCATGAATGTTGTTGAATGTGGAGTGTCCTGGATCATTACCACTGTCCCTGACCTTTACTCTTTGATTGTGAAGGTGCGTTTTGGCCCCGAGGAGGACTCTGAGGAGGAGACCACCACAGAGGGCGAGATGGAGATGGTTCCCTTCACCCGCAGGACCGCGCTGGACCCTGGGAACCGCGTGTACGAGACCTCCCACGAGCAGCCCGCCAGTGTCCCCATCGACTACACCAACTTCCCCACCATCAGCCTGCAGGAGCGCCCCACCGACTCGGACCTGGAGGAGGAGGAGGACTTCATCCACTCCCCGCGGAACATGACGGACCTGGAGATCGGCATGTACGCTCTGCTGGGGGTCTTCTGTCTGGCCATCCTGGTGTTCCTCATCAACTGCATCGTCTTCGTGCTCAAGTATCGACACAAGAGGATCCCGCCCGAGGGCCAGGCCAACATGGACCACTCGCACCACTGGGTCTTTCTGGGGAACGGGCAGCCGCTGAGGGCCCAGTGCGAGATGACCCCTCAGCAGGTGACGGAGAACCCGCTGGAGAGCGTGCAGACGTGTTGCCATAGCGACCACCACAGCAGCGGCAGCTCGCAGACCAGCGTGCAGAGTCAGCCTCACGGTGAGTCCGAGTCCAAGTGACGGATCTGGTGAACATGATTAGAAATACAGAACAAAAACAGTTTGCTGATGCTTACTGGTAGCAAGTTAGAGGTATGTTGCTATGGTTACTACGCTTGCTCTTCTCTACTTATCTACTCATTTGTCATTATTTTTATGAAAATAATGAAAAATAAATGAAAATTACCAGATAGTGAAAAGTGAGAAACCTCAGGGGATCCACAATGAAGAAGAAATTCACTCCCACAGATGGATGGGCTGTAGATCCAGGACTGAGGCTGTAGATCCAGGATTGAGACTGTAGACCCAGGACTGAGGCTGTAGACCCAGGACTGAGACTGTAGATCCAGGACTGAGACTGTAGATCCAGGACTGAGGCTGTAGACCCAGGACTGAGGCTGTAGATCCAGGACTGAGGCTGTAGATCCAGGACTGAGGCTGTAGATTCAGGATTGAGACTGTAGATCCAGGACTGAGACTGTAGATCCAGGACTGAGACTGTAGACCCAGGACTGAGACTGTAGATCCAGGACTGAGGCTGTAGATCCAGGACTGAGGCTGTAGATCCAGGACTGAGGCTGTAGATTCAGGATTGAGACTGTAGATCCAGGACTGAGACTGTAGATCCAGGACTGAGACTGTAGACCCAGGACTGAGACTGTAGATCCAGGACTGAGGCTGTAGATCCAGGAATGAGGCTGTAGATCCAGGTCTCTACTCATTTGTCATTATGTTTAGGCAGTATACGTTTGCTTTTCTCTACTTCTCTACCAAATAATTAAAAAGAAGCAGATATAGTCACAAACTTATGTGGATCAAACATTTCAATATGTTTTCTTCTGTTTTTCTCTTTTTCATTTTATTTATTAGGCAGGAAAGATTTAAAACAAAATCGGGCCTGGCTCAGTACAAACTGATTTTCAGCAGGTTCCTGCTCTGCAGAACACTCCTGCTCTTGTGGCATAAATCTGTGGCCACTTTAACACAGAGACAGCTCTGGGGATCTCAGTTCAATTTTCTTTTTGTATAGCCCTAAATCTCAACAGGAAATGCAATGAATACAAAGACATAGAGCCATTGGTTCATAAGGAGCAGAGACCAAAGTCCATAAATGTGGTTGAATGTGGAGTGTCCTGGATCCTGGTCCTTAAACCTCCTGCATCAGAGTAACAACTCTAAAACCCAGTGGGAGAAAAGGATTGTCAGTTTTTTTTTTCATTTTAGCTTTATTTAGTGACACAATGTGGTGCTGGGACATCAGAATGATTAAAATTAAGAGATCCTTTATTTGTCCCTGTGAGGTAGTGTAGCAAGAGTCGTCAAAGTGGCAGAAGAAAAAAACAAAGGCTCCAAAACTTGTAACAAAAAGGGTGGATTTATTTACAGTGCTCCCAAATATACATGTTCTCTCTCCAAAACCAACATGGAGAGTGCCTCTCTTTTTTCCTAGAACAGCCAGCACACCTGGCATATATACATGGCCGAAATTGACTGGCTCCTCCCATTCGGCTGGAATATGCTTTTATATACACTAATATGCATCTGTAAACATAAAAAAGAAGCAATTACTGCACAGACAGCAACAAAGCCTGCACACAGTTAAACAGCAATGATGCAAACCAACATTAAACCCCTAAAGCAGGTTAATTATCAAACCCCTTCTTTAAATGGGTGGAGCTAGACAGAGGTCTCACTCCAAAATGGGTTAAAACCATAGACTGTATATATTAACGGACAGAGTCACGCCTATCTCCGCCGTTCTAACTAATGGGCCAAAAAATGTGCTCTACTGGAGCAATCCAAAATGGCCACGAGTGGTCCCGCCCACAAGAAAATTGTGAGAAAACGCATCTGCGCATGCATCAGCCCGCGCAACTCCATTCATTTGAACGAGAGACTTCAAAAATTCACAGCAAGTAAACTAGAGTGGACCAAACAAATGCACCCCCCTCAGCATTGACACACATGTGGAACGAAGCTTTGGGCCAAGAGCCAACTTTTGGACCATCCTGTAAAGACGTTTTTGAGAGGTCTGCCAACGCTATTTCTACTTCTGGGTCCACCCCCATCGGCCCGGGGTGGTATTGCAAGCATGTCAGCGCACGTCATTTTGGCCACTTTTGAGCTGGGACCCACCCCCACTGGTTAAAACCAGGAAATGCTCTACGGCCCTCCCCTTTAATCTGATGCCGCATGGAGCAGGTATGTTAGAAGCAGAGTTCCCTCTAAACAAATGAATAAACATGTTTAAACCTTACTATAGTGTTTGGTGTTTTTAACAAAGTTAACTGCTGTAAAATGGAATGTATGTATGTGAATGAGTGAGTGTGTGGAACTGACAAACTTACACAAACAAGGCCCGGGTTATAAGAGTGTATTTGACAGAACCTGTGTGTGTGTGTGTGTGTGTGTGTGTGTGTGTGTGTGTGTGTGTGTGTGTGCGTGTGTGTGTGTGTGTGTGTGTGTGTGTGGAACCAAGGGTGTACTAAGGGACAAGTGGAGTTGTAAGACTCACTTCGTCACAGTCCCACAGTGGGAAATGTCAGTGTTGCATCACCAGGTGCAGAACAGTAGGAATGAGATGCACACAGCACAAAATAAATGAACAATAACTCTATACTAAAATTGATTAAAATATCTAACTTAAGCTTAATAAAGAAGTATAACATACTGTTTAGGGGCGACACTGGCTCAGTTGGTAGAGCACTGGGCTATGGGCTATGGGTTTGAGCCCACCACAAGACCTACTCCACGACTCCCAATGATGTCTGCTGTCGCTGTGTCCTTGGGCAAGACACTTAACCCCACTTTGCCTGAAGCCCCCGCTGAAAGATCAAGGCTCCTGTGGACTCAGCACCTGCAGGAGGATCAGTGAGGGGCTGGTGCTGAGTGTACTGGGTGCAGCTCTGACTGCCACCCCCGACTCAGAAATGGATTAAGGGAAAGAAAATAGATGGATGGAACATATTGTATATTCTAGTGCAGTATAGTTGTTTGTAAATAGGACAAAGCGACTCAGTAAAGTGACAGTGGACACATGTGGTTCTACTTTGCACATTCTGACATTATTTCAAACTTGTTTAATAATTACAACCAGAACTATTTGTACTTAAAATTAGCACTCTGAGGTTTCCCTGAAATGTAAAGTGCATTATAAATAAAATGTATTATTATTATTATTATTATTAAAATCTCTGAGAAGAATGCTCTGGTTCAATATGGCTGCCTTGTTGCCCTGGCAACAGTACCCTGTGTTCCATGTTCTATGGCTCTGACATAATCGCTTCTATCGCCATGGATACCTTTATTACATCAAGATCTAGAATTCCACTGTAAAAATATTTCCTGGTGAGTTCAGCCTTGACTCAGGACTTCAACACAACATTTGCCACACATTTCTACAGAGCAAAGCGGTTCATACAGAAACATAACAATGAGTTGTTTTGGACGGAGGTCTAACAAGGCAGCTCGGATCAAGTATCTCCAGGCCCAACTGAGGGCAGCAGTCGAAGCAAACGACACCCTGCTGAAGGAGGTCCAGGGAGAGAAGGATCAGAGGGTCAAGGAGGTCCAGAAAGAGAAGGACCAGTGGACCCAGGAGGTCCAGAGAGAGAAGGACCAGTGGATCCAGGAGATCCAGAGAGAGAAGGACCAGCGGATCCAGGAGGTCCAGAAAGAGAAGGACCAGTGGATCCAGGAGATCCAGAGAGAGAAGGACCAGTGGATCCAGGAGGTCCAGAGAGAGAAGGATCAGAGGATCCAGGAGGTCGGAGCTCAAAAAGAGGAGAAAACAAGACTGCAGGAGCAGGTGAGCCAACTCCAGAGAGAGAAGTGTGATCTGGAGAAGGCTTTACTGCAGTCCGAGGACTCCAACAGGTCTGTCCGGCTCCAACTGGAAACCACCACTGGGAAGAACACTTCTCTACTTGAGGCTTTGGTGAAGAAGGACAGAGCGCAGCAGACGGCAACGCTCCAGATCCAGGCCTTGAAAGTGGCTGTTCAGAAGTCTGCAGAACAGGCCCAGAAGGACAAGGCCATGGCCCAAACTCACCAGGAGCAGAACCAGGCCCTGTGTGAGAAACTGCATACGTTAAAAGAGTCAATGGCAGCTTTAGAGAAGAGGCGTGATGAAGAGATGGAAGTGAAAGATACAACCATCAAAAACTTGGAAACAGAGCAAGCAAAACTCAGGACAGACAACCAGATGTTCCAGACTCGTATCGGAGAAGCTGAGAGCCGTATAGAAGAGCTCAAGGCCTCGAGTCTGGATCAGGAGACTGACATGAAGAGGCAACATGCAGAGATGGAGAAGTTAAACAAGGCCCAGAAACAGGTGGAGACCTTTAACTCAATCCTCAACCAGAAAAATGTAATTATCACAAAACTGCGGGAAGACTTCACTAAAAGCAAAGAGGAGACGACGAAACTCAAGGGAGAACTGCAGAGAATGACAGAGTTCTGGGAAGAAGCAGAGAAGATGTCGACCCTTTCAGAGAGCACTGTGTCGGAGCTGAAGACTCAAATCAAAGAGCTTCAAAACAACGGGACAAAGAAGGAAACAAGCCCCAAACTCCAGGTGAAAAACTCTATTAAATTAGACCTGGGGAACATGGACCGAACCCCCCTGGCACAGTTCTTCGACACTTATATCCAGGAGCCACAACACGATGCAGCCAAACATTTCAGACAGATGCAAGATTTAAATGGTTTGTTTGAGCAAAAGCTGCTGTCGATGTCAGCAGAAGAATCACGACACGGAGCTGGAGACTGTGAGGCAGAGGTGTGACCAGCGTGTGAAGGAGGTTACAGAGGCTGATAACAAAACCATACAGGATCTGAGGAAGCAGATACAGCAGAAGGACCAGGACATCAAGAACAGGACCACAGAGGCGTCTGGACAGAGCCAGACGAAAGGCCGAAACAAACAGGGCCGAAAAAAACAATACTAAGACTTTCAAACTAGTCCGTTCAGAACCAGGCACAGTAACAGTCACTGTGACTGGCTTATACACATCGCCTCAAGTTTCCAAATAAAAATCTCACCTTTCGCCCTCCGTGGGCGTCTCAAAGCTTGGGTCCTCTACCAGAGGCCTGGGAGCCTGAGGGTTCTGCGCAGAATCTTTGCTGTTCCTCGCACTGCACATTTCTGGACCGAGATTTCTCCATTGGCAGAATTCTGAAATTCTGCAAATAGATCTCCGTGTGATTGGAGCGACCAAGTGTGTGCTGCTAATGCCGCAGTGAAATCATCAGAATTCCACCATATCTTAGAGAATTTTTTTTTTTTAAAGTCGATGCTGAATGGGACACTTTGCCTGCATTGTTTGATATATTTCTTTCAGACCTTTTAAAAAATGTCCCGTTTCTCTGTTGCACGCGCCATCATCGGGAATGTTTCCTGTTTTTTTGTCCGATGGTGGTTAACAAGACAAACAACGGCCGATACCGGATGTTCAGCGATGCATCGGTGCATCCCTACCATATCCCCAAGATCACATGATTGCCAACACAAAACAGCACAGTCTATGGCTGGTTCTCCCTGCTGTCAATCACCTCCCTGGAGGCTGGGCTTCTCAACGTCACAGATTTGGTGCTACTGTACACAAATTGAATCGAGAGATTTTGCTTCCTCTGAAGATGGAAGAGAAAAATCATTCTTTAACTAAAGGGCTTGAAGGGAATCAATGAAAAAAAAGACTCTGGCCTGTGCATGAGGCCCGAACCGAACTGTACCTGTGTTTAATAACGTAATTGTGGGTCCTATTAAAGAGCTTGTGAGGGCTGATCCCTCCCTCACACAGGAGCGCCCTCTCCTGTGGGCTGCTCCACCTACACCACTCCAGCTGGGCGGTGATTACCTCCAGGCTCCACCTTTGGCATGAACCAGAGGGGGAAGTTTGGGAGGTATTAGTGGAGTTTTTTATATTGTTATCAAGAATATGTGAATGTATAAGTTGATTGTCGATTATTCGACAATTATTATTGCTACAGTTCTTTACTTTATCCTTAAAAACTGTTTAAGTAAAATGTAATGTCTTTTGTGTTAGGTCAGCTTTTTGTCAAGTTCAGTTGCTCATTTGATTTTGCATTGTTTATTTTTATTGTTTGTACATTTTTTGGACAATTAAAAAGCCACGTTATTCAAACGTTTTTGCGTGTTTCCTGCGTGCACCATCGGCCCCCTTATAAAGTGTATTAGTTAAAGTACAATGACCATGGTGCCCCGCCGATATCCGCCCCACCTGAACGTTATTATAAAGGGCTTTGCCTGGAGACCAGAGGAACGACGGAGGGGGCTTAGAGTTGGGCGTGGTTGGGCGTGGTACAGGTATCAGATAAAAAGGACACATATGTCTCATGTCCTTTGCCTGTCATTACAACAACCGCACTGCAAATATCGCATTTTCGGCTGTAATTCGCTGAAACAGGATATTTTGGTCAAGTTTCTGATAGGCCTCGCGTTTGGACATCGCCCCGTGCTGTCATGGAGACTGTGGGCGTGCTGCGGGTCAATACCAAATAAACTTTGCTTGCTTTCGCCTAAAATGTAATTTTTGTAATCACTAAACGGAGTGAGAGGACGGTCGTTTTGCAGAACTGTGCGGACGCCGAACGTACCTGTGCTCGTTCGTTTTGTTTCTGATTTTTTTCATTGCCTTTCCATGTTCGTTTGGTAATCATTGTGTTGAATTAAAACAGTGTGAAGAGCAGGACTTGTTCCACAGGGGAAAGAGAGCTAGTGTGGGGACACATGATCACTGTCTGGTCCTCAGGAAATACTGTTATTACTGCTTCATGGAAATGTACATTACAAACAACGGCAAATAAGTTATACCCATGTCATTAGCCCCACCGCTACTGAGCCCACCGACCACTTCTAGCTTATAATCCCCTTCCTAAACATCAACCTACCACCCTTAAAACAACCCCTCACCACCCTCCATCCCACATCCCCTTCAAATTCCCAACACCTCTCCTCCTCCCATACACCCCAAAACTTTAATCTCCAATCACATCCACCCCCCCATCCCTTCCCACATCCTTCATCTTAATATTTCACCCCTTCCATCTTCCATATTCACCTTCCTCTTCATATTCACCTTCTCATCATTCCATATTCACCCTTCCCCCTATTATCTTTACCCCCCCTCCCCCCAACCATTACACCATCATCTTCAATACACCCTATCCCTCATAAATTACACCCTAATATCTACAATACACCCCATATCCAACAATACCAAACCCCCAACCCAAACACAACCCCAACCAACAACAATTCCCAACCAACATCACCCCCCCCACCACACAACCACACCCCCCCACCACAACACCACCCCCCCCAACCACAACACCACCCAACCCCCAAACACCACCCCAAACCCACAACACCACCCAACCCAAACCACCACCAACCACCCCACCCAAACACCACCCCCCACAACCCCACCACACCACCCCACACCCACAACCCCCCCCCCCCCCCCCCCCCCCCCCCCCCCCCCCCCCCCCCCCCCCCCCCCCCCCCCCCCCCCCCCCCCCCCCCCCCCCCCCCCCCCCCCCCCCCCCCCCCCCCCCCCCCCCCCCCCCCCCCCCCCCCCCCCCCCCCCCCCCCCCCCCCCCCCCCCCCCCCCCCCCCCCCCCCCCCCCCCCCCCCCCCCCCCCCCCCCCCCCCCCCCCCCCCCCCCCCCCCCCCCCCCCCCCCCCCCCCCCCCCCCCCCCCCCCCCCCCCCCCCCCCCCCCCCCCCCCCCCCCCCCCCCCCCCCCCCCCCCCCCCCCCCCCCCCCCCCCCCCCCCCCCCCCCCCCCCCCCCCCCCCCCCCCCCCCCCCCCCCCCCCCCCCCCCCCCCCCCCCCCCCCCCCCCCCCCCCCCCCCCCCCCCCCCCCCCCCCCCCCCCCCCCCCCCCCCCCCCCCCCCCCCCCCCCCCCCCCCCCCCCCCCCCCCCCCCCCCCCCCCCCCCCCCCCCCCCCCCCCCCCCCCCCCCCCCCCCCCCCCCCCCCCCCCCCCCCCCCCCCCCCCCCCCCCCCCCCCCCCCCCCCCCCCCCCCCCCCCCCCCCCCCCCCCCCCCCCCCCCCCCCCCCCCCCCCCCCCCCCCCCCCCCCCCCCCCCCCCCCCCCCCCCCCCCCCCCCCCCCCCCCCCCCCCCCCCCCCCCCCCCCCCCCCCCCCCCCCCCCCCCCCCCCCCCCCCCCCCCCCCCCCCCCCCCCCCCCCCCCCCCCCCCCCCCCCCCCCCCCCCCCCCCCCCCCCCCCCCCCCCCCCCCCCCCCCCCCCCCCCCCCCCCCCCCCCCCCCCCCCCCCCCCCCCCCCCCCCCCCCCCCCCCCCCCCCCCCCCCCCCCCCCCCCCCCCCCCCCCCCCCCCCCCCCCCCCCCCCCCCCCCCCCCCCCCCCCCCCCCCCCCCCCCCCCCCCCCCCCCCCCCCCCCCCCCCCCCCCCCCCCCCCCCCCCCCCCCCCCCCCCCCCCCCCCCCCCCCCCCCCCCCCCCCCCCCCCCCCCCCCCCCCCCCCCCCCCCCCCCCCCCCCCCCCCCCCCCCCCCCCCCCCCCCCCCCCCCCCCCCCCCCCCCCCCCCCCCCCCCCCCCCCCCCCCCCCCCCCCCCCCCCCCCCCCCCCCCCCCCCCCCCCCCCCCCCCCCCCCCCCCCCCCCCCCCCCCCCCCCCCCCCCCCCCCCCCCCCCCCCCCCCCCCCCCCCCCCCCCCCCCCCCCCCCCCCCCCCCCCCCCCCCCCCCCCCCCCCCCCCCCCCCCCCCCCCCCCCCCCCCCCCCCCCCCCCCCCCCCCCCCCCCCCCCCCCCCCCCCCCCCCCCCCCCCCCCCCCCCCCCCCCCCCCCCCCCCCCCCCCCCCCCCCCCCCCCCCCCCCCCCCCCCCCCCCCCCCCCCCCCCCCCCCCCCCCCCCCCCCCCCCCCCCCCCCCCCCCCCCCCCCCCCCCCCCCCCCCCCCCCCCCCCCCCCCCCCCCCCCCCCCCCCCCCCCCCCCCCCCCCCCCCCCCCCCCCCCCCCCCCCCCCCCCCCCCCCCCCCCCCCCCCCCCCCCCCCCCCCCCCCCCCCCCCCCCCCCCCCCCCCCCCCCCCCCCCCCCCCCCCCCCCCCCCCCCCCCCCCCCCCCCCCCCCCCCCCCCCCCCCCCCCCCCCCCCCCCCCCCCCCCCCCCCCCCCCCCCCCCCCCCCCCCCCCCCCCCCCCCCCCCCCCCCCCCCCCCCCCCCCCCCCCCCCCCCCCCCCCCCCCCCCCCCCCCCCCCCCCCCCCCCCCCCCCCCCCCCCCCCCCCCCCCCCCCCCCCCCCCCCCCCCCCCCCCCCCCCCCCCCCCCCCCCCCCCCCCCCCCCCCCCCCCCCCCCCCCCCCCCCCCCCCCCCCCCCCCCCCCCCCCCCCCCCCCCCCCCCCCCCCCCCCCCCCCCCCCCCCCCCCCCCCCCCCCCCCCCCCCCCCCCCCCCCCCCCCCCCCCCCCCCCCCCCCCCCCCCCCCCCCCCCCCCCCCCCCCCCCCCCCCCCCCCCCCCCCCCCCCCCCCCCCCCCCCCCCCCCCCCCCCCCCCCCCCCCCCCCCCCCCCCCCCCCCCCCCCCCCCCCCCCCCCCCCCCCCCCCCCCCCCCCCCCCCCCCCCCCCCCCCCCCCCCCCCCCCCCCCCCCCCCCCCCCCCCCCCCCCCCCCCCCCCCCCCCCCCCCCCCCCCCCCCCCCCCCCCCCCCCCCCCCCCCCCCCCCCCCCCCCCCCCCCCCCCCCCCCCCCCCCCCCCCCCCCCCCCCCCCCCCCCCCCCCCCCCCCCCCCCCCCCCCCCCCCCCCCCCCCCCCCCCCCCCCC